CAGACGAACACAATACAGAAGCCTGATGATGGCAGATGAGATTCTGCCGAAACGTTGCTACAACTTTAAAAGCACAATTATAATGACGTGGGAAAATACCCGAACAAAGCTGAATACCATACATGTAAGTACCCGCGAAAACTTAAGAAAACAGATATATATACATATATACTTTTTTTCCTTTAAGAATTTAATGTGTATTTTTAAGGGAATGTACCAAGCAGAATTCGACTGAAAATAGGTATCTGTTATAAAATAGAGGTTAGAAAATGAATGTTATAACTGTAAAGGTGTAACTTAAATTTTTAAACAAGATTTGAAAAAAGATACAAAGGTGTTACACTCCAGTCTAGTAATTACAAGAGAAAATTTGTTTTATGAGAAAAGATAATATGAAATTGTAAACAGGACAGACAAAAGTATAAAAACATTGATTAGAAAGATTTTAAAAATTAGAAAAAGATATGTAATTGAATTAAGAAAGGAATGAGATAATTTAAAATAAGGCTATAGGAAGTAAAGAAAGGGAAAGCTATTGAAAAAATTGCAAAAATAGTTATAAGATATGGATTAAAATGTATAAGATAAATATGTATTGAGTTTATGTCTGTATGGAGAAGTGATAACCCGGGGGCACGCTGTTCTCAAAAAAAGAAATTTTATTTGTATTTGTATGTTTTGTGAAAACTTAAATAAAACTTTTATTAAAATATATACTTTAACTTCATAAAAACCAGTTGAAGGTTAGGTTGTAAGTCAGGGTAAACTGATTGAATGGAGACTTGAACCTAGGTCTCCCCAGTTCTAGTCCAATAATGTGATGACTGTTAAGGCAACTGGACAATTATTGTCTTTAAGATTTAACACTTCTTGTCACTACTTATTGTTGCAGAAACTACTGTATGCAAAAATTTAGTATCAAGATTTTTCTAATGATTGTATGGTTAATTATTCCATTATTTCATGTATGATTCAAGTACCATACAGACCAATGCATGTTCAGACTACAATCCTACACCCACAATTTGGAGTAAGCCCTACTGAACAGAGATAGAGTTTAGCTTCCAAGCACTCAAAAGAACAATACACTTAAATATTCTTATGACTCAATAACTTTTAAACAATATTTTAAATGATCTTATCTTTTCTATAAAATTCAAGAATCAATATTAATACAAATAGAAATAGTATGATGCAAAAATTAATACTACCCATCATTTTTAGAGTAATTGGCAGTCAATCTGCAAGAGAGGCAGAAAGAGTATAGTGAAAGGCATTCTAGTGAGCTAAGACTTAACAGTTATTCCCTCTCTTTCCTATTCTGAAAAAAGGGAACAGTTTAACAGTGGAAAAGTATAGGTTGTGAAAACTGTACTTTTAACAACTGTTCTGCTTTCAAATTTGCAGTGTTTGTAAATAGTAGACATTTTTAATTTATGGATTTGAAGTTTAATAAGTGTAAACTTTTCATGAACTTAAAAATAAATTGCAGGTATTATATCATAAGGCAGATGGAACATGTTTTAACTTACTATCTTAAGCTCTTGACGCAGCTGTCGATTTAGATTTGTTGATTCTTCTAATCGAGCTTCCAAAGCAGCAATTTTTTCTTCTTTTATTTCAAGTGATTTCTTCAGTGTGGACTCTAACCTTGACTCCAAAAGTTTGTATTTACTGTTTAATGAAACAATTTTAATGAAGTTCTCATTATCAGTAATTCACTTTAAATAATTCATAACCTTTATGTCAACTTAATGAATTTGAAAATAGTAAACTGATAGTTTTGGAATATTTATCTATGTGAGAAAAAAAACACTGTTCCCAATGTCAAGAGTGTGCATATGTTCAAAGCTAGACCTGAATCTCGTTGGGCCAAGATTTTTTTAGGCATAGTCCCAATGTTATAGACATATACCTATTTTCATATTTCTTCCACAGGGGTGCTGCTTTTAATCTGTTCTGGTTTTAATACTTTGGCCTTTTTTGTACTATATTTTGTATTACAGTTTGATTACTGTATTTTGTTTGTTTTAAAGGCAACTATTGTTTTATGACATTAACATTTCATTTGTTTGATTGTTTTGCATCTGACAGTTGTAAACTGTGAATCACGGCTTTGAAGAGAGCATTGCAATATGTAAGTAACAGAATGCAAGTATTTGTTGGTGTATATAACAGAAATAAAAAAATGGATACATTGTAAGAATTGCAACCATGGCACAAATGTCTTATCGACCATAAACTATTTAAATGTTAGCAAATTATTTTCTATTCTTCTAAACAATACACTGTAATTACACTTGGGGGGAAACCATCTAAAATTTCATATTAGCATGGATCCTATTTAACCTGACAATATAGAACATTCAGTCTTAAATAAATTTCCTCATTCCACTTTATTCCTCTTCTGATCCAATCACTGAATTTGCTTTCCTCACACTTCTCTCTGACCTAATTCTACAGTTGTTAAGAGCTAAGGATGGAACAAATAACAGAAGATATATTTTAAAATAGGAAAACCACTGGTATTTTCCTTGAGGCTACTTATTGAAAACTTGTTGCAAGATATAAAATATAAAGCCATTTAACTTAAGAGATAAAATATACTAAATCTCCTATGATTATTTTAATTACTGCTAATATATACCATACAAATGTTTGTACGCCATTGTTATTACACTTGCAGATATAGCAAGCTAAGCATAATCAAAATTATTTTCAGAGGCTGTGCTTCTTCTGCCTCAAAGATATGATCTGAAAACAATTTTCTTATTACTAGACTCCAGAATCTAAATTTCTAAAACCATCACCATTTTAAAAAATGTGATACATTTTTTGTAACCCTTGCACAAACACCACAAAGCAACTTCATTTCTTTATTAACGTGCAGCATTTATCATAAAAATCTGATAAGGCAACTGAAAGAAGTGGCTATTTTCTCAGCAAGATATATGAGCAATAGATCCTTAAAAAACCAACAGGGTAGAAATATCTTGGAGAGTTACCATCAATTTAATCCAGAATGTCTTTTACATACTCATACCTGTCATCAGTACTCTGCTCATCATGTAAGAGACGTTCCTTGTTTAAACCTATCTTTTCAAGTTCATGTGTAAGTTTTTCTAACTCATTATTCATCTGCTGTGTCTTCAGTTTTTCATTCACTAAATCCTTAAAACAAAAGAATGGATTGAACAAATGACTATTTGTTACAAGACAACAAAAGAGACACAGATTTTTAGAAAGTGATTTTTAGAAAGGTT